TAAAAATTGTTAGGCTTAATATTGATGAAAATTCAATGCAAAGCAACATGCAATGGAGAAAAGTTTAAACTTGGGATATATTAATATACTATATTAATAAAGTATTTTTTCATACATAATTGGTGATTCGGATAATTTACACTCTACTCACATATGGGTCTTCATGATTTAAGTACTTAAAACTTATTGGAAACTATTTTTAAGTTCTGTACAATATAAATAAAGAAGCTAAAAAATAATGATCAAATATATTTTTCTTGTTCAAGCATTTTTACATTTATGATTTAACATATGTAACTTAACTGGCATATATTGGTTTTGTGTCTGACTTTAGTCAAATGTTTTTATTCTATACTGTAATTGTCTTTGTTTTACGTCTATAGATTAGATAATTTAAATAACAGTTAAGTGGGAGCATTTTATACAAAATATGTTTTTATTTCTTTTTGTGCACCAGTGGAGTCTGTTGCTATGTTTTATAATTTTTGCTATATCCATTCAGAATGTTATACAGGGTGATCAAAAAGTTGTGTTTTAGAAATCAATTTTATTTTGTGAGGTTAATGTACAAAAATACAGAATGTAGTAAAAACAGTTTATAACAATGATTGCCAGTATCAGTTTTCAGGTGCTTCAGAAGGGGCATCAAACATGATAAAAAGAGCTCACACCTGCACTCATCAACAAGAAGGCTATTTTGAAGACATGTAATAACATGATTTCAGTTTGCTTTTCTTAAGGATCAGATTATAATGTTCCTCTTTAGTTCATCTATTTATATGGATTATTTTTATACATGGCTACTTTGAGATACTCCAAGAGAGAAAAATCTAGAGTGACAAATCTGGCAATTATTGGGGCCACAATCCTTTAAAAATAAGATGGTTGCCATAAGAATTGCAGTATTTGGATATTTCTGATAAAACTCAATTTGCAACACATGCATAAGATTGAGTGGCAAAATAATGCTCAACAATGAAAATCTGTTGTTACTGGGGAAAAGACCATTTCATTTCCTCAATGAACAAAGCTATACTGCAACCAAATTTATGATTTTCACACAAAATTCAGCAGTCACTTTGGTGTCATCTTGTGATGGGATATAAAAATAACTTGACACAATTTACACAAACTAATTTGATGTGCATGACTTTTTGATCATCCTGTATTTAATGTATTTTTGTATATTTGAGTAAAAATTTATTATCATATTTACAGTATGTATTAAAGTCCAATTTAGGATCTGTTTTTGTTGTTATATTGAGGTAATTTAAAGAGTTAGTAAATTTGAAAATGAAATAGAATTAAATGTGTGTGAGAAGATTATTTACTGTGTACTGTTATTAATGTTTTATTGTATATCTACATAAGAAGACTATGCCATTTATCTTAGAAATCCATTAGTAATTTTACTTATGATTTTGGCAAGTTCTTTTGAAAAGTGATGAAATTATAAGAAACCAGATTGGATATTTCTTTTTGATTTGTTCATTAAGACAAAAATTCGCCAACCTCCTTAAAGAATTGTTGTGGATAGTTTGTACATAAATTGCTTATATTCTTTCTTTATACTGCTTTCTCTTTTGTTGCTTATAGTGAGAAAAATTGAACCAGGTAGCTAATAGTACATGGTTATTTCCCACATTCCAGTTTTTATGTTCACAAATTAAAATTAGGTTTAAAGAATTATTTTGTAAATNAATCCTAGTTTCGATATTTCATTTAAAGTTGCAGACACGTTTTCTGGGGTGGCTTTCGATTTGCGCCCCGGCATCGTGCTGCAGATTAGGCTTAGCTAACTCACCAAGCCACGTGGTCGACAGTAAGGTTGACTAGCAACGAAGTAAAACAGAAATTGGTACTCACATGCACAACAAAGGTTAAGAAGCCAAAATAAGATAATCAAGTGTCATTAAAGAGGTGGAAAATATATTAAATATGAAAATAAAACCAGAACAAAAGCACAGCGCTGTTTAAACTTGACGCCACCTGGCGGTCTCTCCAATTTATGGTGGTCTGATAAAAGTAGTTTTTGACCAGGTACACAAATACCATAAAGTTTCACTTTGTAAAAGGGCTTTTTCCTGATAGGGCAAGGTGTTGCCCGAAGGAAGAAGGCGAATCGATACTCTGCTATCCTCCAACATGAAGCATTGGAAGATGTAGTGTTCCACCCCGTCCGGGACGCCACAGATCTGACACTGATTCACAGATTGGTAAGTCTGACTGCAAAGTAGCTGTTCAACCTGCTGTGGCCAGTTATGAACTGAGTAATTCAGTGGATGTCACGGTGGTTAATGGCTAGGTTGCTGGTAGAAATGCTGGCCAAGAAGTTCCTGGTGATTTTACCCACTTGGCAATGATTCCACTTATCTTTGCCAGATGATAGCATCACTTTTAACAAGTTGCTTTAAATATGAAGCTGGAGTTTTCGAGTAAAGGCAGTAACCGGCAGAAAGGCTGGCAGCTTCCCTGGCTAGGGAGTCAGCCCTCTCATTGCCTTGAAGGTCGGCATGTCCCCTGATCCAGGAGATGGCAAAAACATTGCGAGAAGGCAATACTATACTGGATCTTAACAGCAATTGGATTCCTGGGATGGTGATTGATAATGGCCTCGATAGTTGACTTGCAATCAGTGAAGATATTAATTCAGAGATTACTATGGGCGTTATTACGCCATTCAATGGCCAAAAGGATGGCAGTGAGTTCTGCCTGGTAGGCCTGAACTGTTGTAGTACTCCATGCCTTCATGGTAGGCAACAACGGCACTACTGACTTTATTGTCAAATTTGGAACCATCGGTGTAGATGATGATGTGCTCCTGGTCCAAAGGCTGGGTTTGGATATGGAGCCGAAGAAAGGGAGGAAGCAGATCTGATGGGTGGCAAATAGTCTTATAAGAAGAGAACAGTTGGTTGTCCAGATAGATGCTATGACCTTTTCAAAGATGCCAACCTTTAGATGCCAGTGAGATGGCGACATCAATAAGCAATTTACTGGAAATGACCTGTAATGCAGCCATGGAAGAGGTGGAGAAGGCATGGCAGATGTGCAAAAGAGCATTGCATTGTGCACCACGGAGTTTCCGTTCAATGTGTACATGGCCTAAACAGCCAGCCCAAACTGGGGCACATAGCAGATCATCGGTAGAAAGATACTATCGTAGATGATGGAAAGGATAGCTGGGGATAAATCCCATTTGGACTTTGCCACCTTGGAAACTGAATTAAAGAGGTACAGTACATACTTGATCCTGTTAGTAATGTAAACAATGTGGTTGGTCCAGTTGAGCTTGTTGTCAATAATGACCTCGAGATACTTGATGGTAGTTGCGACCTTAATAGAGACCCCCATCCATTTTAATAGTAGGAAGCCTATTATAGAGATGAGATTTTCTAGGGTTGGTAAAAACTATGCCTTTAGTTTTGTTAGCATTAAAATTCAGTTTATAGCCGTGACGTTATGAATGATTTTCTTGGCCTTGCACTCCAAATCAGAGCAAGAGTAGGCTGCCACGAGGATCATTGCATCATCCGTGTATGCAAAGATCCTGTCGCAGTCTAGAATGTCAGAAGGAAAGTTATTGAAGAGAAGGTTCCAGAACACTGGACCAGAAACAGAACCTTGAGGGTAGTCTCTAAAAACCCTTCTCCTGATTTTGCAGTTGCCAGAAATGAAAGTTACATACCTATTTTTAAGGTAGTCTGAGAAAGTATGGTAGATATTAGCAGGACAGTGAGCCTGCTGCAACCGTTACAAGATGAGCGGCATTTAAGGCATTGCTGATATCCAGGCTAAGTCCCAAGGCGTAAGGGTGGGACTGAAGAAGTTTGTAATGGCCATAGGATGAGGCAATACTATCCTATCTGGCAATTGCCAGACCACTCTGTTAGCCACCAGTGCATGTCTGTCCAGAAATAAGATGGCTGGCCACTCATTTCTGGACAGATATGCACTGTGCCGATACCAAACCTGCTGTAGTTGCACCAATAGCAAGTCTTTGAGCCATATATCCATCCCAGATGTTAAGGATAAAACATACTTGAAGTAATGTTCACTACAATGCATTCTGAGAAAACAGTGCCTCATCAGTTCATAAAATGTGCTGAAAGCATCATGGTTCATCTTGCTGTAGTATGCAAATCATTGTATGGCATCCTCTGTATGTTGTGCTTATTGTAGATAGCAGTGGAATGGGTACACATCATTGTGATGCAATATCTCATGTATTTGTGTTTATTGAAGTCCACAATCAACTCCAATGTTGAAAAAATGCTCCTGGATAGATGTTTAAGAGGACATTATGTATATGTAATTTAAATGTTTTAAACATATAAGTATCTGGCTGACTTAGTAAGTTAATATCTTATTATTTTTGTCATGTATGTTCTGCTTGGATTTTCATAATTCAATATGGATAATGAACAAATTGAAAGGAATATCTGGTTCTGGTTGCTTATAATGCTATTGTTTTCCAAGACTTGAAATTTTGCTAGAAATTCATAACATTCCATTTATAATTCAAAAATTCATAACAACATAGTTTAATTCATAACATGTTTTGGCATTTGCCGTCATCAAACTATTAAATAAAAAAAAGATATATTTCAATAAGTGTTAAACAACAATATGTAAATATAGTGGAACCCCGGTTAATGAACGTAATCCGTTCCACGAGTCCGTTCGTTAACCAAAGCAATTTTTCCCATAGAAATTAATGCAAATACAATTAATCCCTTCTAGCCATCAGTATTTTTGTAATTTTATTTGTAAAATGAGTTTTCTTTGATGAAAATATAAGAAAACATAGTATCTATCATTACAGCAACAAATATGTAAACTTTATTTAATAAAGTAGCACTGTACATACCTTTGTTTCTACAGAGTTTAATGCTTGGAAGAGGAATCCCCTCCATAAAAATATCAGGTAGCACTGCATCGGGAGTTTCTTCGAGTTGAGATCTCTTTTGATAAGGTACAAGAAAGTGGTCTAAAGTTGATTAAGAGAGTATGATAATCAAAATTTTTCTAAAATGCGCTAGCACAGTGTCGTCCCTATTAGCCACAACTTTGTTAGGATGGTGCTTCTCGATAAATTCCTGCACATCGTTCCATTTTCTGCAAATTTCCTTGATCTCAGCACTGATGATTTCTTCCCTAGCCTCTTCCTCTGACAAATGCTCTTCTTGTAACACTTTCATCTGTTCTTCCTGCATTGCAACCAGCTCTTCTGTTGTTAGTTCATTTTGATGGTCTTTCAGTAACTCCTCCATGTCTGCATCATCTACCTCTACTCTCAAACTTTTGCCAATGGACACGATTTCATGCACTACATCAGGAGAGCTTTCTTCTTCAAATTCCTGAAAGTTTCGCTCTGGGACAGAAGTTGGCCAAAGTTTCCTCCAGGCCGATCGCAAAGTGCAGTGAGAGACTTCACTCCAGGCTTTGTCAATAAGGTTGATACAATGCAGGATGTTAAAATACTCCTTCCAAAAAGATCTAAGAGTTAAGTTGGTATCATTGGTAACCTGAAAACACATGGTAAATAGTGCCTTGGTATACAGCTTTTTAAAATTGGAAATCACTTGCTGATCCATTGGTTGCAGTAATGGAGTTGTGTTGGGTGGAAGGAATTTGACCTTGATGAAGTCATGTTCACTATCCAAGTTGTCTTCCAAATTTGGTGGATGTGCTGGAGCATTATCCATTAAGACAGGGGTCGGCAACCTTTTGAGTCGGAAGAGCCAAAAATTACAATTTACAAAATTTCAAAGTTTTTAAAGAGCCACAAAATTTTTTCTTGCTGACAATAAATAGTACTTGCATAAATAAAGTTTTTGATAAAAAAAACTAATCTATTTATTCAGAATTGTCTTGCGTCGAAAGCGAATTAAACCTCATAGAAACATCCGACGACGGCATCATTTGAGTGCTTCCGACGGACTGACGACAGTGACGACGCGTGTCACGGGGGAAGGGTGCGATGAAAAGCGAGTACAAGTGGCTGAGAGATAGAATCGGTGCCGAATCCTCGTTAATCGATTCAGAACGATTTTTAAATGTTTTTTTATTTTGATAAAATAAATAATATTTGCGTATGGAACTAAAGAGCCGCAGGTTGCCGACCCCTGCATTAAGAGAAGACATCTAAGAGGAAGATCCATTTCCTGAAGATAATTTTTAACAGTAGGAGCAAACACTTCTGTGAGCCAATCCATGAATAAAGTCCGAGTTACCCATGCCTTACTATTTCCTTCCATTGTACAGGCAGTTTGGACTTTATTACATTTTTGCTCTTAAAGGCATGGGATTTTCAGCACTGTAGACTAAAAGTGGCTTGATTTTGAGGTCACCACTTGCATTAGTGCAAAATAAAAGAGTGAGTCTGTCCTTCATGGTCTTGTGCCGAGGAAGTGCTTTCTCTTCTTGGGTTATGTATGTTCGTCTAGGCATTCTTTTCCAAAAAAGACCGGTCTCATTGCAATTAAACACTTGATTCTAGATGTATCCTTCACTTTTTACAAACTCTGCGAATTCATCTACAAATACTTTTGCTGCTTTTTCATCTGAACTTGAAGCCTCCCCATGTCTTATGACACTGTGAATGCCAGTTCGTTGACGAAACCTATCAAACCACCCTCGGCTCGCTTTAATTAATTAAAGTCCTGCCTGTCTGCATTTGTACTGGGTGTCTGGGTCAACAAGTCATTGTATAAATTTTTAGCCTTTTCACAAATTATAGCTTCACTAACACTGTCTCCAGCAAGTTGCTTTTCATTGATCCATATTAGCAACAGTTTTTCAACTTCATCTAAAACTTTAGATCTTTGTTTCGATATCACATTCACTCCTTTAGCCACTTCGGCAGCCTTAAATGCTTTTTTGTTTTTAATAATTGTTTTTTTGTTTTTAATAATAGAGATAGTCGATTTTGCCACATTATATTTTTTAGCGATGTCAGAAACACGAATGCCATTCTCGTATTTTGCAATAATTTCTTTATTTAATGCTACACTAAAACGTTTTCTATTTCCACTGTCACTTTTCTCTTTCTTCTGTGCCATATTGATTAAATATACAGTATAAATAACAAAACTAAAAAACGAAGTTTAGCACACTCGAAAAAGCAATGCTTACCTCGCNTACATTCGATTCATTATCATCAATTATCTGCGCCAATATTTAATTAATAACTTGATAAATATGGATGGTTTGCTTCTGGACGTACTGTACATATGAAAAATGTGAATTTTTAAACGTAAAACAAGTTTGTTTTTCTTTTTTAATTAAACACTTACAGTTTAAATTGTGCTGAGAATAATTGCAAAAATCTGCGATTTGTTAAATGTGCACGATGTCAACAAGTTCTTTGTTTATTTTGTTTTGTTAAAAAATATCACGTAAATAGTTGCCCATCTAATAATTTGTGAATGTAATTACTTTTCAATTAAATACATCTAATAAAATGTATTTACTTATTACATTTCGATTATTTTCCTTATATTTATTCTATCATTACTTTTATATTATATTTTATACTTAAAGTAGTATATATATCTAATCTTTCATATAATATTTATTTGAAGTTTGAGTTTCTTCCTTACTCTACTATTTATTTGAGTTTCTTCCTTACTCTACTCTGTACATGTAATATCGCCGTCTTCCTCTGTGACCTTTTCACAACTAAAAATTTGCATATTTGTTTTAAACTAATATAAATATTTGATTGCTATCAGTCCTGATTAATAGATTTAGTGAATATTACAAATTTAATATAGAGTTTGTATACTTTTAACGTAATTATTAACTAAATTTTATTAAAATTTATTAGAAGACACTCCGACAATTCCCTACTTAGTTGTGTTTTTAAAATTTTGTTAAGCATTACAAATGGCAGAAAATAAGGAGCATTTTCGACATATTATGCTTTTTTATTTCTGAAAAGGCAAGAATGCTTCGCAGACACAAAAAAAGATATGTTCTGTGTATGGTGAGGGAGCCATTGATGATTCCATGTGCTGTAAGTGGTTCAGAAAGTTTCGTGAAAGCAAGCTTACAAATTTGACACAAAAAGCCATTAAGTTCATTATCCGAGACAAAATTTTTGCAAAATAAAAGTTCGTTAACCGATTTGGTCATTAACAAGGATGTTCGTTAACCGGGGTTCCACTGTATCAAACAAATTCACACGTATTAAATGGAAATATTGTAATATTTATTTAAAACTGATGTTTATAACTGAATTATCACACAAATTAAACATTTAGCATTTTTTTGTGATATTCTCAGGAGATAAGATACAACACCTTTTTAGTTTTAAAAATAAAATATTTATGAAATCCATTAACATTAAAACTGTAAATGATAAAATTTGATATAAACTTACACTTCAAAATGTTTAATCCATTTAATTATTGTAATTGATTGATTTAGTTTTTAAATATTCACAGACAGACAACATCAGATGCTCTACTGTATTATCTTTAGAATATCAATTATCCAAATGTCGATCAACCGAAACATAGGTTAACCAAAAGCGTTCCAGTCAGACTGCATCATGCTGAATTGAACGTTTTTGATTCTAGATTAACTTCTAAAGTATAATTTTTTTTGTTTTTATATTTTTCAATATATATTTTGTTTTTACAAAATAAAGAAATAATTTTTAATAATACAATAGCCACGATTATTATTATAAAAATTGTTAGGCTTAATATTGATGAAAATTCAATGCAAAGCAACATGCAATGGAGAAAAGTTTAAACTTGGGATATATTAATATACTATATTAATAAAGTATTTTTTCATACATAATTGGTGATTCGGATAATTTACACTCTACTCACATATGGGTCTTCATGATTTAAGTACTTAAAACTTATTGGAAACTATTTTTAAGTTCTGTACAATATAAATAAAGAAGCTAAAAAATAATGATCAAATATATTTTTCTTGTTCAAGCATTTTTACATTTATGATTTAACATATGTAACTTAACTGGCATATATTGGTTTTGTGTCTGACTTTAGTCAAATGTTTTTATTCTATACTGTAATTGTCTTTGTTTTACGTCTATAGATTAGATAATTTAAATAACAGTTAAGTGGGAGCATTTTATACAAAATATGTTTTTATTTCTTTTTGTGCACCAGTGGAGTCTGTTGCTATGTTTTATAATTTTTGCTATATCCATTCAGAATGTTATACAGGGTGATCAAAAAGTTGTGTTTTAGAAATCAATTTTATTTTGTGAGGTTAATGTACAAAAATACAGAATGTAGTAAAAACAGTTTATAACAATGATTGCCAGTATCAGTTTTCAGGTGCTTCAGAAGGGGCATCAAACATGATAAAAAGAGCTCACACCTGCACTCATCAACAAGAAGGCTATTTTGAAGACATGTAATAACATGATTTCAGTTTGCTTTTCTTAAGGATCAGATTATAATGTTCCTCTTTAGTTCATCTATTTATATGGATTATTTTTATACATGGCTACTTTGAGATACTCCAAGAGAGAAAAATCTAGAGTGACAAATCTGGCAATTATTGGGGCCACAATCCTTTAAAAATAAGATGGTTGCCATAAGAATTGCAGTATTTGGATATTTCTGATAAAACTCAATTTGCAACACATGCATAAGATTGAGTGGCAAAATAATGCTCAACAATGAAAATCTGTTGTTACTGGGGAAAAGACCATTTCATTTCCTCAATGAACAAAGCTATACTGCAACCAAATTTATGATTTTCACACAAAATTCAGCAGTCACTTTGGTGTCATCTTGTGATGGGATATAAAAATAACTTGACACAATTTACACAAACTAATTTGATGTGCATGACTTTTTGATCATCCTGTATTTAATGTATTTTTGTATATTTGAGTAAAAATTTATTATCATATTTACAGTATGTATTAAAGTCCAATTTAGGATCTGTTTTTGTTGTTATATTGAGGTAATTTAAAGAGTTAGTAAATTTGAAAATGAAATAGAATTAAATGTGTGTGAGAAGATTATTTACTGTGTACTGTTATTAATGTTTTATTGTATATCTACATAAGAAGACTATGCCATTTATCTTAGAAATCCATTAGTAATTTTACTTATGATTTTGGCAAGTTCTTTTGAAAAGTGATGAAATTATAAGAAACCAGATTGGATATTTCTTTTTGATTTGTTCATTAAGACAAAAATTCGCCAACCTCCTTAAAGAATTGTTGTGGATAGTTTGTACATAAATTGCTTATATTCTTTCTTTATACTGCTTTCTCTTTTGTTGCTTATAGTGAGAAAAATTGAACCAGGTAGCTAATAGTACATGGTTATTTCCCACATTCCAGTTTTTATGTTCACAAATTAAAATTAGGTTTAAAGAATTATTTTGTAAATATTTAAAACTTTAATTAAATTTCTATGATTCTCAAACACAAGACCGTGTTACTGTTTAAACACTTGGCGTTTTTTCATCTTTATTCAGTTGATACGAGTATTACTACACGTTTTGGGCATTGCTCCTCATCAGCCAACTAAACATTAAAAAAGTATACATAAATTTTTTAACAAAACAACATTATACAGAAAGGCTATTTTATAAAAATATATAACTAAATGTTTAAATTCATTCACGAGATGTACCATTAGATTCTTTACAGACTTTAAAGGTGTACACATGTATTAGAGTAATGTATTTTATTAAATTTTGA